GTGCCCAGGGGCCCCCCACCCAGCCTCCTTGTGCCCAGGGACCCCAGACAGTGCCTCAGCACCGGACATTGAGCACAACAAAGTCACCAACACAAAGCACAGAAATGTGAAAAACATGGTGCCATGAAACCGACCACAGAAAGGACACATGGCAGCGTGAGCCGGGGCAAGAGGCAGCTGTCACCTCGCTCGCCCCAGCGGGGACCCCGGGCACCCCGGCGGCTCCGGTGTTCCGGCTCCGTGCACCTGCGGGAATGGCCAGGCGAGCCCGGCTCAGCTTCATGTCGGGGGTTACAAATAAACATTAGCAAGTAGGCAAATTTGCAAATACGGGCTCTTTGAATAATGACTTTCGGCCCTAGGTACCCACACACCAGGGCCCGACTGTCCTCACTTAACCTCCCAGAGGAGGGCCTGGAGCCAGGAGCCCGAAGAGGCCCCTGGGCGGTGGAGAATCAAGGAGCCGTAACTGGGCTCGGAGTGAGAGACGGAAGCACTCAGTTGTCACCAGGTGGTGTCTGTAAAATTAGGCAGCAGATGGAGAAGAAGCGGAGGGGAGGGCAGTCGGAGGCACAGCTGTGGCAGGAGGGGGCCGTGGGAGAGTAAATGGGAGCCCACGGGAGGCGTGGGCCCTGCGCCATCGGTGAGGCCGAGCCTGCGGGAGGTTGCCCCAGGCCCCGGGGCGAGCGTGCGGGGCTCAGTTAAGGAGGAATACGAGCTGGGGGCCGGCGGCCTAATTGCCCTGTGGGGGCCCGTATTTCTTACCTTTGCCCAGCCCCCCTGCTCCTGGGAAGCACAAAGGAAGAAATGCTGTCAGTTTCCTGAATTTAAGGCGAAACCAAAGCCGGGGTTCGCTCAGATCCTCCCGTCCTGAGCCCTCCACGGACCGCGAGGCGGTGGTAACAGGTGCCGCCCGAGCCCAGCTTGTTTCCAAGCGCGGCCTCCCCGGGATTCACTGTTTGCACTTGTTTCAAGTTTTAGAAATTTCCCTGCCCCTGGTTTTGTTAGCTGCTCAGGGAATCCAGTCACGGTGACCCTCCAAATAGCTTTTTTGTTGTTGGTAATCCTCACCTGAGGATATTTTCCCATTGATTTTTAGAGAGAATGGAAGGGCAGGAGGGAGGTGGGAAGAGAGAAACATCGATGTGAGAGAGACGCATCGATGGGTTGCCTGACGGAGGCCAGGGATCCAACCTGCCACCCAGATACGTGCCCTTGACCGGAAATCGAACCCTTGACCCTTTGGTGTGCAGGCCGATGCTCTGACCACTGAACCACACTGGCCAGGGTCCAAATATCTCGTTGAGGTTTGGAGTGCTATTCTCCAAACATCACCTCTAAAGTTAAAAAAAAAATAGTTTCGCTATTATGAGCAGTGAAACCACTATGTAATTTTCCAATTAACCGAATAACGTGCCCGGAGTCTTCATTCCTGCCGGGAACGTATTGCGTGGACCTCAAGCGGCCCACACACCTCAGAGGGGGCAGGTGCGGACCGGCCGCCTGGCGTTGAGAAGCACCTTCCCGCCCCGTGCCCGGTGCCCGCCTCCTGGTTGGTCAGCTTCCCTGAGTGCTTCTGAGAGCCTTTTGTTGTGCCCGGGGCGGGAGCCACCAGCTCTGCCGCCTCCAAGCAGAAAAGCCCAAGTGTAGATTTCATATCTAAGCTCTAAGTGCTGGTAAAAAGTCGCATTAAGTTATCGAATGCTCCTCGCCCACACCCTGAGGTTTGGGGGTTACTCTTCCCCCCAGAGAGAGGAGAACGTGATCCGTTCAGACGCTCGGGGCAAGTGGGATTGATCCAGTTACTTCTAAATGAACCTCACCCAGACGGGGTTCCCTGAGTGGCCGTGTGGGCTTGGTACCTGGCTACCCAACGAGGTGTTTGCTCACTTCTGTAGGATTTGAAACCTTTGGTTGAAAAGGCACGAAGGAGCTCCTATCAGACGTGTGCAAAATAAAATAGCGAGTGTAACCCTGATACTGTCATTCGGCTCCAACACAGCATGTTTAGGGTAGTTTTAATCTATCCATCTCTCTCTCTATATATGTGTATATACATATGTGGTTTTTTGTTGTTGTTAATTCTTACCTGAGCACAGTTTTTCCATTGATTTTTAGAGAGAGTGGAAAGAAGGGGGGAGAGAGAAACATCAACGTGAGAGAGACATCGATTGGTTGCCTTCCCCACGCGCCCTGACTGGGGCTGGGGATTGACCCTACAACCCAGGTACATGCCCTTGACCGGGAATTGAACCTGAGATCCTTTGGTGCACAGGCCGCCACTCTAACCACTGAACCACACCGGCCAGGGCTACCTATATGTGTCTTTGTATGTGACGTAAATGAAGGAATAAGTCTTCTCCGTGGGGTGTTTAAGCATCACTCTACTATGGCCACAGAAATTCTGCTTGGAGAGGCATCGGAAATGAAAGGACTTACTGCACTCACAGGTCCTTGACGGGGGAGAGGACCCTGGGCAGTGCCAGTGTTGGGGGTCAGGTGTCGTACACAGCAAAGGGCAGGAAAGGTTTTATTGGTGCCTTGGAAGGCCACTGGGTCACAATCAGGGGGGCCCAAGAAAGGGACCTCGTAGCAGGGACCAGCCTCATCACCCTGGCGCTCCTGGTCACGGCTCACAGCCTGCTGGTGGGGATGCTGAGGCATCGGGAAAACAGGAAGCCTTTAAATGGACAGTGGAGCCCGGCCGGCATGGCTCAGCGGTTGAGCGTCAACCCATGAACCAAGAGGTCACTGGTTCAATTCCCAGTCAGGGCACATGCCCGGGGTTGTGGGATCGATCCCCAGTAAGGGACGTGTAGGAGGCTGTCGATCGATGTTTCTATCCGTCTCCCTCTCTCTCTAAAATCAATAATACATACATATATATATATATATATTTTTTAAAAGGACATTGTGGTCACAGAGAGCTCTGTGAGCCCCGGGAGGGGGGGCATGGGGGGCAGTCGGGAGAGTTAACCAGGATCTCCTACTCACCACCCGTTCTGCTCTGCTCTTGCTCGGCAGCCTTCCTCACACTCGCCCACTCGTTCGTTTGAAAACTGTTCCTGTCCTCCTACTGCGCGTCAGACTCTCCCTAGGAGCTGGGGATAGAGCAAGAAAGGGGAGAAACCGATACCGTGTCTTACGTGGTGAAACAGCAGATTGAGGGGGGACGGGAGATGAGCTGGGAAGGGGAGTGTCAGAAGCCAGCAAACTTACCCAGATCGGCCCTGGCTGGACTTTTCAGGGAGCATCATGCTCATAGCTGTAAAAGTTGCCTCCATGCGCCCCCAAACCTGGGGACAAGTGATCAATGGCATCATCACCGTCATGAAGATGAGCCCTATTTGGGGGTAATTTTATAGGATATGAAAGCAAACTTCATCGACTGTTTCACCAGGTGACTTTGTCCTAAGGCCAAACCAAGGCTAAGCTGGGAGGCGGTGATTTGGCTGCTCCTGGTCCTTGCCCTCTTTGGGGCTCCCTTGTTCCAAAGCTGGGACTCCCACCACTTTTCCTTCTCATCTGCTCCTGCTCTCCTGGGGGTGAACTTGGTGCGCCCGGCCATGGTACCAGGTGCTCTACTTAAGTTGCTTCTTNAAAGATGTAACTCAGCCTGTTGTTCCCTGTTGTTTATCTCAGATCGGATGAGAGTCTGACCATTTCAAAAACACTAGGACTTCGCTGGGCTGCCAGCTCAGAAGACCTTTTGGCTCCGCAGATTAAACCTATTAGGTGTTTTTATAAGTTATCAGAACTTGGTTTTCTTCCTGTGTGTCGGGAGCCGTGTGCTGGTTGAGGCCGAGAGGGGCCGGTGTTCGTCTCTGCCCACCTGGCGTGCGGGCCTCCCAAGGCCCCTGAGCGGCGCAGGGCGGAGAGCAGTTTCCGATCCCTCTGCCGGCAGGATCCCCGCCCACGGTTGTCTTTGGCTTGTTCTCAGAACATGTCATTTTCTGTTCTTTGTCCCTTCCCCCGACTTCACCTGTTTCCCTTCACCTGGGCTCCTGGAGAAATGTCACCTTGTCGTGGAGATTGTGGCCACAACAAACTTAAGTTCCCCAAACTAGGATGTCTCTCGTCGGTCTCTTCCTCACACCATTGAATGAAACAACCTCCCTGTGCCCAGGGACCCCCCACCCAGCCTCCCTGTGCCCAGGGACCCCCACCCAGTCTCCTTGTGCCCAGGGACCCCCAC